AACATACATTTCTATCTTAACATTCGTCTTTAATCCCAGCCGTCCTTTTCAAATTCCTCCAACGGTAAAATTTATCCCAGGTTTCAAAAAAAATTGATCCACATTTATCTTTTAGTATCATTGTGAGCCTGTCCATTTCTGCACATGCTAATATTTTATGTATTAACTCTTCCTCTGTGGGAATTTCCTTACTCTTCCAAGGCATTGCATTTTCCCGCACGTGTTTTCGGCTGCAAACTTATCCTGTGGCCTCAAGGGGAAAAAAATGCAATTTTTCCCCCGGTCCATGTGCAATTAGAATAAATTCAGATAACAATCTAAACAAGTGAATTTTGCCCCAATGTTTAGGTGTAATTGATGAAAAGCAACTCCTTTGGAGGACTTCTTAATTTTTCTTATTTAATTTTTTTCTCTCTTCCTTGAAAGAGAGAAGAAAACAACAGAAACAATAGAAAATATCAAACGCCGACGCTCCAGACTGATTAATTCATGTAAGTGTTATTTCTCTTGGTGTGTTTGTGGCTTCCTCGCCCCCTCCCTTAAATAGGGGTTAATCATGTTCCTTTACTTGGGTTTTGATAACAGGTACTTGACTTACAATATTACTTATATCAAGAAATAACATAAAAAAGGGGGAAAAAGCATACAGTATTATTTAAGGAATTCATCCCTCTTAGCATGTAGGTATAAGAAGTAAATCGAATGAAGTGTCTTTATATGAGGCTTTTGCCTGTCCATGTTTCTTGACAATCTTTTTCTTTTTCTTCTTCGCTGCTTCTCTTATCACTTCCTTTCTCTCTGATGTTTTCAACATCTCTACATTCCATTTTATCCAGTCTGTTTTTTTGTCCTCAGATTTATTTTGTAGTCTTAAGGGATGAGTTGTTTTTTTTCTATTTCTTGTGAATTTTTTCCCACTAGGATTAAATCATGTTTTCTTGCTTTGTTAAGTTCCATCTTTGAGTCTGTATTTTCAATTTTATGTCCACTTATTTGTTTTGTCTGCTCCTTCTCTGTTGTTGTTTCCTGGAAGTTGTTTTGTTGTAGAGTTAACTTAGAAATAGATTGATTTATATTTTCAAATTTATTTTGGATTTCTTTGTGATTTGAACTCATTGTTGTTTGAATTAATTGCAATATATTATATATCTCCTCCTGAGAGGTATTTATGTTTTCTTGATGTGTTCTATCTACATGTCTCTGATCCATGATGGCCAAAAGTTGAAGTTTTCCTTCTTTTCTGCAAATAGCTTTAGAATCCGGGTTAAATAGATATTTGTAATCCAAAGAGTTCAAAAAAGATTTTTTTCCTAAAGTTTATAATTCTCTTTGTCTGCAGCCCAAATTGTTGTCTTTTTTTGTCACAGCTGTTCTTTGTTATTAAAGATTTGAAGGTCACAAACACAGATTAGCTTTTCACAGGTTTTGGCAAGTTCTCTATGAAGATCATAACTGTCATAATCTTCATCCACCACTAGGTGTCAGGATCTATTTAGTTTTCAATATGAACAATGTCTTTAAAATGAGAGTCTTAACCATTCAACAATTTTAAACTTGTCCCAAATTAAATTTTAGCTTTCAAGTTTATAAATTTATTTCACTACCATATATTTTGATCCTCTGTAGAAATTTTAATTTGCTGCTTCCGTTAGTACAAGGGTGGGGCAGAAGTCCCCCTCCTTCACTCTCGGAGATATTTTGCTTCTTGGGGATCTTTTCCAGGAAATTAAGTGTGGAATGGAAAAGGGAAAATCAGATTCCTCACCCAGTTTCAAGCACGATGTTTACTGTTGTACTGGTTAGTTCTTTTGGACTTCGGTTGCAAGTAGCTTGGGCTGATCGGGGAAATACAGCCTTTCTCCTGTC